CAGGAGAAAATTGACCATCTGATTAACCATCGGTCGAAGTCGAATTGGTCAGAAGTATAGAGTTTCGGACAATTATTCTTGGCGATTTATTATTGCTTGATCATATTAATAACACATTTACCCTTTGGTAATTTGTTAAATCGTTCAGGGTTATTACTGTAAAAAATGTATATATATTTATTATTATCTTAATGAGAAGAAACGCGTACCTCACGCGGAGAGTAGATTAGGAAGGAAATTGACAATTAAGCACCATTTTTTTAAAACCAAGTGCAGATGAGAGGCCACGTAACCCCCTGCCAGGGGCAAAGAGTGAAAAAGATCGCGTATTATAAAGAAAAAAAATGAATGGAAGCGCCACGTTGTAATTATGGGGTCCCAGCTGGCCTCGTTTAAAACAAGGTGCTTTTTTAACTTTTTAGAGGTTTAATAACCCGAGTCTATCCACATACCAATATTTAACAACAATACATCCACGTTAATCAACGCGGGGTTTATAAAGCTTCGAAGAGCCAATGAGAACGAACAGTGACGGCATTTATATGACTTTGGATCTGCTAATGCCTGGTTTTCGGCTGGCATCAAAACGACAGAGTTTATTTTTGTTTTCTACGACCCAATCTGGTCCCTTGATGTTTAAGCAGGTGGCCGCTTGTTCCACGTGCAACTCAGCTGACATCACTTCGACACATGTCCGCGTTCTTAGCCCTCTTCTGTTTACTCTAATAAAATACTACTCCTATGGGTTTTTTTTTTTTTTAATACAATACTACTCCCATGGTATTTAGTGATGTTTACGGTAAAAGGAAAGAGAACAGGAAGAAAAAAATGGGAAGAAACAGAGTGGAAGCAGCTGAACAGGATCCATCCATCACTGGCCAGGGCGACAGCAACGTTGTTGACGCCTCGACGCTTCCAAGTTAAGGCACCCAACAGTACCAAACGAGGCTGGCTTCATGCACAAAACAATGCCACGTGGCTGTTATCGTTGGGCATCTAACGGATAATAATTGTGATTCCACTCTACGAAAGACTTCATGATGTGAGGAGTGGGTCCCCTCTCATTCACTCTCACTTTCCACAGTGTCGCCCTCGCAGTCGCAGGCCACTCGTCCCTTGAATCCTGATATTTCGCTATTTTCTTAATTTATTTTAACCACCAATTTTTTCTGTGTTCCCGATCTCCTTCTGATGTCTTGTTCCTGATTTTTCTGGTGTCATCACATCAAATAATAATTCGCTTCTCCTCCTTATATTATTTTTGAATTATTTTTTGTATGAGGGAATTCGTCCAATACTTCAGCGAGAAGCCCCGAGTTCAGATATTATAGCTGGACGGCCGTTGGATCAACTTTGCCGTTCGGATGTTTACACGTGGCGATGCCATCAGATTCAAGCAAGCCTCATATTCTCTCTCTCCCTTCTTTTTTTTGGTGATGGCTGTCTTTATTTAATTATTCAAGATAAAATGGTCTAATTTAAGTTGTGTGTGGATTTGAGGGGGGGAGTTAGTTGGAGAATTAGTGGAGGAATATGTGGCGGAGAGGGGAGGGACATCTGAGAAAGGGGGAGGGGGTAAGGAAGGGTGGGGTCCATTCAGCTGTGAGAGAGCAGTGGGTCCCAATCCCTCCCCCGGCAGAGACCTCGCCACGAGGGAGCGTGGAGTCTTCGTCGAGGGGGATGCCGGGGTTACCTACGAGCCCAACCACATACAGGGGGGGTAATTGGCGAGATATGGGAGGTACGTCTCCGTCTTCAGTGGCCCCACTCGCCATGACTGTCCTCGCACAAATCCAGCTTCTTTCTCCATCTGCGTCATTTTCATAGAATCTGATTTCCGATCCGCAATTAAATTCTCATCTCTCAAGATCTAACATTATGTACGCTTAGTATTCTGTTTTCCCCCAAAACCAGTGTCCTGGCAATTATGTTTTGAAATGCTACCACCGCCGTAGTATAATGTTGTTTTTATGTAGGAGAGCCACGGCGGTATAATGCATTGGATCTACTGTTTTAATTAAATTCATTATGGTTTTTTACTTGCCATGTGTTAATTTTGTTTCTTTAAATTACAATTGTAAATTCAGTTAAATCATACTCCTCCGATTCTTAATATAAGACCCATTTAACTAATTTGATTAGATTAAGGAAGTTAAATACGTTAGTTAATTATAAAAATGTGACACATTTTTCCTAAAACACCATAATTATCTTTCTTAATACCTCATTTCCCTATTTTACTTGATTATGGTTGAGAGAGTATCTATAGAGATAATTTAAAGAAAATAGATAAATATGATAAATGTGTCTTATATTTAAGACAAAAAACAGCTCAATAATTGAGTCCTATATTAAGAACTGGAGGAGTATATACTTAAGCCATTGGGTGTGTTTGAAAGACAATTTCAAACCATCATAAATAACTTAACTTCACATGCTTATTCTTAAAAAAAAAAAAAATCATATATACTCGTCAACTGTCCTTATTTACAATTTTTTTTATTTCTAAAGTTTTTCTTGTAATTTTTTCCAAAAAACAAATGATGGTTTTAGGAAGATTGACAATCAGATTTAATTAAGAGCAGTCAGTAGCTTAGCTTCGAAGCATCGGACCCCTCCACTCACTGGCATCCAGAAACGGTCAAACCATGGTTTCATTGAGGCCTTTGCATATGGTCACGAGTCAAGTGTGGAGCCTGAAACAGTGGACTGTGACAGCAGAAATAGAACCCCGCGGGACAAAGAGAGAGCCCCACACATCCAATGAGCAACAAAACCGAAGTTTGAGGCTTTATTAAGCATGGCAGATAAAGGAAATTAAAGATATTAAAGAAATAAAAAATGAATGGAGGTCGGTGGAGGAAAGTGCAAGGCATGTGGATCGCGAAGCAATGGGACACAACAAAAAGTCAGATTAGATCATCCGCATCGTCATGATCTGAAATTTAGTAAGGGAATGGCGATTCTAATGGCTCCCCTGACATTGACACTATAATTTCAATTTGTGCAAATTCAACTTTCCGGAATTTTCATTCTAATTTTTCTATGACGGAGACCAACTCCTCCTTCTAGTTTTTGTCTCATCTTAACCATTCCACGAACCCAAATCCATTGCTTTTGGGATTTGCCCCCCATGTATCACTCCCAATTTCTTTTCTCCGCCAATTAAAAAACATGATAATGACTTAAATGCAATTTTAATTTCTTTAAAATCTGTCGGCAGGCACTGGGTAAACGATTTTTTTTTTAAAAAAAAAAGGCGCAATAAAAACCTATAACCTATTCTGATTAAATCTACGCATAGGATTTGAGAGGGTGACCGCAAGTCCACAATTTCAACGACGAAAAGTGAGGGTTCGTACGAAGAGGGGCAATTTACCATTTGTCTGGAGAAAATAAGTAGGTGTTCTGTATGTACGCACACTTAATGATGGTCAATAAACAGAATTAGCTTTGTATATTTGCGGGTGGTATTTCGTTATTGGCTTCGAACAGAAAGGCAGAGAAAGACTCAAAACAATTCCAATGGCGATAGCGTTCTGAATGAGACCCAAAAACGTCATAACGTTGGACGTGTTTTGAGAATAGACTGGGCTTTTCCTCTGCCCTCATGCACCAGAAAGCACCAGAAATGAACATGATCTAGGCCACACAGCAAATTGGGCTTGAAAGAATCTAGGGCTCCCCAAGTTCAGGGCTTATCTTATACAAGGAAGGTGACCTCTTGGATTTTCATTCAAACTGACTTTTCTAAACCCAATGTTATATTTGCACATGTTTTTACAAAAAAAATTCAGTTTTTTGCAATATAATCAACTGTTTTAAAAGTTACACTTTATAATTATTTAAAAAATTGATTCAATTTTTTTTATAAAAAAAAAGAATTTTCTCCCAAATAATCACAGATCTTTTTGCTCATCATATTCTCTCTCTTATTTTTTCCGCTTATTTTCCTCCTAATAAATGTAACTCCAAGCGACCGATGGTGGAAGCAAGACAGACTCTGGGAAGCTGCCCCATAATTAATGCATGGTGGTGGGAGCTGCCTACGCCATAGCGTGCCATTGACTCCCACTAGAGCCGTTATGTGCGTAGTTGAATCTTTCTGTCTTTGGCTTTGACAAATATAAGGTGGTCTTTATTCTTTAATATCCCCCCCCCCGGGGGGGGGGGGGGGTTCTTTATAATTTCTTGAATATAAGAGCGATGGATCTCGCTCTAGTGCTGTACCTTCAACCGGAACGGTGCTGCACATTTTTTTTTTTTTTTGGCTTGATGCTGCACTGTTTATTTGCTTCCCCTTTTTTGGTGAACTATTTTCTTTTCATCTTATCATGAGTAAAGGGGGCAATTCTGTGGTACTAATCATGTACTTGCATATATTTGGTCAAAGACAAATTATGTAGTACTTACATCCACCACTGCGCTACGGACGAAGCTTTTTTTTTTTTTTTCCTGTGCCTAATTCTTTCCTGTTAAATCTGCTTCGGTGTGAATTTAGAAAGGGAAAAATCTTTTTTTTTCCTTCTTTCCATATATAAAACCAAAAAAGCAATGAAATTTAAAGTGAGATCATAACATTTCGAGTAAAATAGAATCCACACGGATGGTGATAAAAATGGAGTAACTTGTTGAGGATGAAAACTGGCAAACAAAAGAGAGACAAAAGCAAGGAACAGTATGATGAGGATGAAATGCCACTGTTGTTATTATATCCTGGCAGTGTCAGTGGCTACTGAGTCAGTGTACGACCGTCTCTATTCCCAAACGCGTAATCAGTATGGTACGAGACGCTCTCGCCAGCGGTTTCTTCTCCCTTACTGTTCATTTTCCAGGATTCCTCTCTTCAGCCACATTATCATTCATCATTTTAAAGGGCCGCCCAAGTTTCAACTCAATTCATTGCTCATTCTGTGAGACTTTGCCTTGCAAGGAAGGAGCTGGTGTATGGCGTGGATTTGAGCCCAAAAGAAAAGAAGAGAAAAGAAAAGCAAAGCGACTTTCATATAAAACTGGGATTCTGCAAATTCAACACTTTCTTTCTCGACGATAATGTTTAAAGGCTGTCTTAAAAGAGCTACAAGACACGGACGCAAAACAAATGGCCTTTATTCGCTTGGGAGTCACTGTCTCATTGTACGGATCGCAAGTGAGTAACTTTCCGTTTCGCCAGTGGGATTAAGTGGTACCCTCTTAGTCTTACTGTGCGTCCATGGAATGAAAGAGATATACATTGCTATTTGACACACTGCCACAGAACCAGTCTGCAATTTGGGTCCCCTCATTTTAATATCAGCCAGACAAGCATAATAGTACATTTGAAATGTGATGATGATCATTTTCGAGAGGAATTCTGCCAAGCTTTTCGTTTTTAATTATTTTCAGGGCTCTGTGTCGTGTCCTTTTCTAGATAAAAGGGGGGAAATTGAAAAAAAAAAAAACAGAAAGAAAAGAGGTGAAAATGACGTCGGTCAGGAACGCCGGTTTCGTTTGGAAGGTACACACAAAGTCGCCAACCGCATAATATTAGAGTGCGAGAAAAATTAAAAGTTCCCAGGAAAGCAAGGGAAAAGGTTCAAGCCTATCATGGTAGTGAAAACGATGGACAAACCCATTTAGAATGTTGGGGCTGGATAAATTGCTCGCTCCCCAAGTTTTGTGCTGATTTCTGCCCACTCTGAGAGGTCGGTCGCTCAATGTGTGAAGTGTGAATTTCGAGAAGACACCGCGTGTTCAAAACTGCTTTGGATAATTCTACGCGAAATAAAGTAATCAAGTCCCACACATTGAAAGGAAAAACTAAGAAAATTTAAAAATAAAAAGAAAAAAGGAAACAAGAAGAAAGTTTCTCGTGCCTCAATAAACGTTTGGGATGGCTTAGATATATAGAGTAAAGTGCGCTACCATCGTAATGTACTCACAGAGTTTTGCAAATATGAGATAGAAAGACGACAGACAGCATGACAGCAGATCAACACTCACATCCTAAAATTTACCCCACACCCGAGGGGAAAAAAAAAGGATTAAAAAGAAAAGGGAAAAGGGAAAGGCAAATGGTTGTTGGCTCACAAATACTATCAAAATGAAGGGGATGAAAGAAATGGTTGTATCGGACCTATATACAAAGAGCAAAATCTGTGACGCACACCTGTATGCTAATTAAGAAGAACATCGATGAATCCTCTTGAAGCCCTATCGAAAAGAGCATTTCTATAACATAAAGCCTGCTATATGTGTCCGAAAGCTGCAGTGAGCTTCTGGATGTCCTTTGAGAATATTGCAGAAGCTTGATGATCTTGCTGCTTGTGATGATAAGGCAAAATAGCTCCTAAAGACTCCGGTACCAAATGTGAGGCTGGCCTTATATCGTTGCATAAGGATTCTGAACCTTGATTCTGTACAGCAGCCAGCATTAAGATTGGGTTACCATGAAGGTACTCAGCCCACCTGGCTTCTTCCGTCTGACTCTCCATCATATTAATCTGGTGATGAGCCTCCTTAGCAGGAGTACCACCACAGTCTGTCAATCCCCAAGAAACAATACTGTTCTGCAAGTTCAAGGGGCCGTTTCTATTGCTATGGTTGGAAGCACTGGCTTCCCAGTACCGGGGTTCATTCACAGGGAAGGAACCAGTAGAGATATCCTCAGATGGAACGGGGAGAGAAGGCTTGTAGCAGACGGAAGTAGGGAGGAATGAGGAGGTTGAAAGTGGAAAGGCAGTGGACATGGTACTGGAGGTAAATTCAGTATTTATATCAAATGATCTTCCTCCAGTTTGAGTGAACCAACGAGAAGAGTCAGTGGATGGATTCGTATAGGTCATTTGAAGAGGGAAATTCGTCATGAAATCTGAAGTGGTGTAGATTTCCTGGTGACTGTTGATGAACCTGCTGTCCAGTAACAACTCTTTACTGGAACAATCGGGGATGAAATTAGTGTTGCTTCTGGTGTTAATCTTGGAGGTAGAAGAAGAACCCTCCATGTCGTGTGCATAGGCTTTATGGGCAATACTTGAACCTGGTTTGTGCTCGTAGGAAGCTCCATCGGACCTGGAGCTTTCTGATTTCAGGAGGTTCAATTCACTGGAACTAACTGCTGCAACTTTCTCTCCATCTTTGTCCTGATCTCCATTCTCAATCTCCGACAGTGGTTTATGGGTCACAGGGTCTATCCCTTGTTGCCTCAGCTTCTTCTTGAGGCATGAATTCCACAGATTCTTTATTTCATTATCCGTTCTTCCTGGCAGCTGTGCTGCAATTTGCGACCATCTGAAAACCCGTCAAATTAAAGCAAAGTTATAACCCAGAAAAGTATATGATACAGCACCCAATTGCAGAAGAAAAGAAAGCGATTGAGAAACATGCCTATTCCCTAATACTGCATGAAGCTCAATGATGAGGTTCTCCTCTTCTTGTGAGAATGTGCCTCTCTTCAAATCAGGCCTCAGGTAATTGATCCACCTCAGCCTACAGCTCTTTCCACATCTCTGCAAGCCTGACAATACAATTATATTCGTGGTGATGAGGGAGACAGACGAAGAAGAAGCTATCGAGTTAAGAATGGTAAATTAAGGAGAAGTAAGTAAATACCTGCTTGCTTAGGAACAGAGCTCCAGCAGCCATGGCCATACTTAGTGATATGCCTGAGCAATTTCTCATCCTCATCAGGGGACCAGAGACCCTTGCGAAGCTTTTGCTTGTGGCAGCAAGAGTGCCTCCCCATTTGTAGATAGCCCCACGTCTACAATGAGGGGAATGATATCCCTTTTCCAATAACAGAAAGTTTTCTTGCTAATTCCTAGGAGAAATGTCAGCACAAGAGCGGCACTGAACAACAAAAGCTCAAGGATGATCGATGCACTGTGATAAAGAGGATATATCAGAGCGAATGAGACGATATATGATATGAAGTCTAGAAAATGAAGTTTCAGCTGAGAAAGGAGTTGAATTAATATAAGAGCAAGGCCCCCCATGGAAGAAAAGTCATAGTCAATGAGTTTTTTTTTCCCCCTCCATTTCTTTTTCTTTCATCTCTCTCTTTTTTTTTTTTTAACCTTTTAGAAAGAAAAAAGGGTTTCAGTATATGGGTTGCAGTGGGGGAGGGAGGAAGGTTCATCTTGGCCACCAGAGGAAATGGGGTTAATAACAGTGTATCATAAGTCCTGTCGGAGGTGTAAGTTTTCATGTCTCTAGCACCAATGGTGGGGCATTTGGGCTGATATTTAATTTTTTATTCACTCAGGAACATAAAAACGTTATCTGAAAACGTCCCAATGCTTGTAACTCAAGTTTTAAAACTGTTTATAAACAGAAACTAACAAACAAAATATGGCAGAAAATCATTTCACTGCACTCTGCACTGGCAAGAAGTTGCCCAAGAAAATAATATAGCCTCTTCCCTATCTTGCCCGTTCTTCAAATTTAATTACCACATAGGCCCTTCATCAATAGTATACACAGTAACTAATTATACAATTTTCTTGTCATGTTCCGGCCATATATCTTTATTTTTTCAAAAAAAAAAAATTACGCAGTTCATATATAGTTTCATTCATGCCATGATCGATTTCCTTTAAATGCTCTGTCATTACGTGGAAAGATCAGATTTTTTTTTCTATTTTTTTAAAAGATGCGTGTTATCCTATAATTGTTGAAATCCACCAAGGGCTGCTAATGAACTCTTTCTGGCCGTAGCTTCCCTTTTGAGGGATAAAAGTCTCTCAGTTCTACTTTTGCCCGGACTTCGAATTCTTTAAAATATAGGCACTTGTCCTACAGGCAGCCAGATAAAATTATAGCGATAAGGGTCAAGTACGTAGACGCATATGCGGGAGCCAGTAACACATAAATTTGGGAACGTTTTCTATTAGAATCTAATATCTTAACCGTGTTAAACATCATAGGGCTGTGTCTCTAATTAGCAAAGTGTCTTTATTCCAATAATGAGGCTTCCACTTTTAATAAAATGCTTTAATAGTGGGCAACTAACTATTGGGCGCCATAATATTCATTATTCATTCACTTGATCAATAATTGGGTAATGGTTTTTATTAAATTCTCATTAACTCCACAACTATCCCACCGGCATATATGGTCATCGCATGTGCAAATTTTCTTTCCACAATTGAATTTAATTATATTAATCATACGCGCTCCATTAGCTAACGAATTACGGATCATGCAATGGCTGTTAATTATATTTTTTTTTAAAAAAATGTAAAAAACATACATACAGAAAACCAACGTTGATCTCAGGCTTGTCCATAACGCGTGCATTATATATGTTCATTTTGTACGGCGGTTTCATTGAAAAGAAACCATGATTAACATGACGTTTAATAAGATCAGGCTTGCAAGAAAAAGCTGATGTTTTAAAGCCGAACTCGTTGTATTTTGAATTGTTATATCAAAAGGCGAAGAAAGAGAAAGAAAAATAAAAAGAGAAAAAAAGGGCAGCATCATGCTTCAAGAAGTTAAATTTTCATCTTTTATATATATATATATATATATATATATATTGCATACATAAGGATGCATGAGCACTAATTAAGCACTTATTAGACACTCCCAAAGTTGAAAAAAGTGCTAATACTTGTGGACCTTGTGGTGCAGCTCTCTTCTTTTTCTTCTTTCCTTTAGCTTTCTCTGTAAATTTTTTATAATCGATCTCTTTTGCTTTAATTTTATCAAAAATCCAAGCACAATAAGAGACCTATATAAATACATATATGTAAATCAACGGAAAGAATATTCTTCAAACCCGACATGGAAGTAGAACTAGCTAGAAAGATAGAAAAGAAAATGAGGAAGACCTAATAACCTAATGGACAACATATATGGAGAGAATGAACGACATATATAAATAATGTTATAATATATATTAATTATAAATATTCGTGGCTGATGATTAGTAAGAAAAAAAATACTCTACATATTAAAAAGATGCACACACATCGAGGCTGAGACATAAAAATGACATTCAAATGAATTATTGCATATCATTAGCTGTCGAGACTGTGGCCTGCTTGAAACTGTGTGATCTCTGGGAACCACCACCAGCAGATTTTCAAAAATCTCAAAGCTGGAATAATTAATTAAAACTCATCACAAGCGAATTTTCATACTATCAATCTTTAATCATTAATGCTTTTCGCAAATTAGACGATAGCAATATTCTAATCAGGTGACTTGGATCAATCTCCTCCACGGACCTAATATATAGTTTTCCTTTTTTATTAAATTAAAAAAAATCTTCCAGTGATGAAAATGTGTCGTGGACGAACAAAAATGCAATTACCTTACATCGATGTATATTGATACGATTTGAACAGACGTTATCTAATAAATAAAAGCTGAGTTAGGCTTAGGAAAAATCATGCGTGACATGAAATTAAATTCACCTTTGTATTTAGAACTGTGTGTATTAATACTAATATGAGTGATGTTGAAAGGTTGTACAAATGCGTGAGTGGATCATCCATTGAAAGCGAAGACCACACAAATGAGAATGCGTACATGTGCTATGTTGTGATCTGATGTCCACGTAATAGGGACTAATACGCACCCCTTCTTTTCTTGGGGCCATCCATCACTTTTTTTTTGGTTGCCTCTTAATTTCTTTCCAGTGTTTTTATTTGTTATTCCCCCGTTTGAGTCCCTAACACCAATTAGTGAGTCCACTCATGGGTATTTTTGTGATTTCACGTCGACGCCTCGAGGCGGAAATGGAAGAAACACATGAATCGTGAAACTATATATGTACACTGGCCTATTCAATTGGAAGTGAAGCGTATTTAAGAATTTAGATCGAAATTAAGTGTCTGTCAATGTCTGCTGCTTTCTAATCAAGAAAGAGATTTAAATCTTGAATCATAATCTTATGAAAATGATTTTCCAATAAGGTTAACAAGGTCTTTTTTTTTTAAACCAAAAAAGACAAGGTCTTTTTCAGCTTAATATTTCATAAATTAAGTGATTTTCGCACATAACTATAAAAATTTGAGAACAAAGCTCAAGTTGATGGATATATATATATATATATATATATATATATGGAACACTTATTTAGACGCTTGAGAGCAGATAATACTCCCCCAAAATAGTGCTAGCTTACAGACAGACAGCCGAAGGCATCTCTCAAATATTTAAAAAAAAAAGAGAAAAAAGTACACGAGGTTATAGTAAAATAAAAGACCAAAGAGCTTTAGGAAACGAAATGAAAAATTAAATATGAGGAGTGAATAATATCTTTTGCTTTGTGTATTATATCAAGTTGTCTGTTTGCAGCACAATTATGATGCCCCCTTGACCTTAGCGATGTCCCATTTGACATTTGTAATAATACGAATCATTTTTATTAAATGACTTTAATAGACTATTTTAATATATATAATCCCCAAAAGAAAGAGGGCAACAAGTGGAAAAAGATACTTCTAAATTACATCTGCAATCTCTTCAAAACACTGTTGATTGGGAAGCTTATCTCCTGTTCGCACATGAGCTGTTCCCTTTATGTCAACTTTAAACAAGATTCTAGTCCACGGTTTTGCCAATAGCTATTTGTTTATTAATTAATGATAATGATAATGATGCCTTTTTGGTGGAAATTATGGTAATTAAAGGGCGCTGTTCATGGATTGATTAATTACGCTCCATACATATATATATATATATCGCTGCGAGAATTAGCTTGAATATAGAAAAAAGAAAAATATGTTGTATAGAATAATATTAATTATAAATAAATTAATTAATTAAACATATATATATATTTTTTCACTGTATAATCCCAAACGGTTTGATGCTTTTACATTGTTATTTATGAAAGTTGAACGTCTCTGCCGGGCATGTAAGAATCAGGAAAAGAAACTAACATTTTACCCCAACCATTTAAAGCAGCATATCGATCACTTGAATTTGATAACTGATAGCTAGGGACGTAGTAACTGATCATTATGATTGTGAAATCAACACCTTATGGGTAATTTTGAATTTCATGAGCGGTCTGATGAGGTAGAGTAGCAAGCTAGGTCTCTAAATATGTGTGATGCTGTAAATTAGAATAAGAAGGAAAGGCAAAGAGGGTAGAGAGAGGAAGGGTGATGATGAATATATGATATTGGAAATCAAATATAGAGATACATAGAGATGAAATGAACTAAGAGCTCAAAAGAGGGTGGCAAATCGGCAGATATGGGCCTACCAATATATATGGCAAAGAAGAGTGAGACGTATATGTATATATGGAGGTGGTTCCTTCACCTTTCAATAATGTCTACGTTCATTGCTTAATTGAATCAGTCACATCACACGAGTGTGTATGTGTGTGCTGAGATAGATATGATCTTCATTTTCAGGTATATCACACATCTCTGCCTGCTACGCTTAAATATGATCATATGCCCCCCTTTAATTAATTTGTCCCTTTCTCTTCCTCAAGCTCAGCTAAGCTACCTGTCCTTTCCTTAATCCATACATGCACGTACCAGATGGCCAACACACCATCTTCTTCTTATTTTATGCCTCAAATTCAGTGCATTTCTCATTTGCCAATCCATTAATCGCTTTATCCAAAATGAACGACGACGCATTATATATATACAAATGAAATTATGGGGGTTTTTTTGTGAGGGTTTCTATATATATCAGCCGGTGTCTGACCTATAAAGAGGAAAGTAGGGGGATGAGATCCCATGGATTTAGGGGGTGTCCCTTAAATTATTGGGACGCCCAGGGACATATAATAAGAATGTGATGCCAAAAAGAGACAGGGCACTGATAATGAAATGAAGAAAAAAGAAATACTACCTCCGGTCCTTAATATAAAACCTTGTTTGATTTTTATTTTGGTCCTAAATAATGGTAAGTAGGTGCAGGGTGTCAATTCAACTACTGTTAGACGCTGAATTAATGGAGAGACAAGCTCATTATATATATACATATATATATCCTCTACATATATACACCCTCTAA